AAAAAAAAAAAAAAAATATATATATATATATATATATATATATATATATATATATACATATATATATCAATAATGCAAAGATAAAAAAGATGGTATAAAAAGATCCAAGTAAAAAGATGACAAGTGAGGCCTACAGTTCTAGAATGCAATGCTTTTTCAATCCCACTTACGACTTTTTGAAATGACTCACTTTGAATGCGCTTTATCTGAAAAGAAAAGTCTGACTTAACTTGAAGTGGTGTGTATTCTCGGATTGGTGGGTTGTTATGGTCCACTGTCACCCCATTGGAAAGCTCCATTATTAATGTCTCCTTAAAGTTCAAGCATAAGAGAAAGATGTCATGTTGTTTGTCTGACTTCGATTCATAGTGACTTTTGGACTCCTTGCATCTTTAGACGCTATAAAAGTTTAGAAAGAAAAAAAAAAAATTACCTCGAACATAATTAATAGCATTGTCGCTTCTGTTGCGCAGTCACCACGGCCAACACGCTATAAGGACTGTTGCTGAACATGTCCCAGCCATCACAATTGTTGCCCCCCAAATTCGGTACCCATAATCGTTCCAGTACATCCTTTCTTTTGGGACTTTTTTCAAACACCTTGTACACGCCTCACCTGAGAGGGAAAAATGAAAACACCACCATTAAATATTCTTTATCCCCTTTAAATTTTTTCTATTAAGATTCACACATTGCAAGTTTCCAATCAAGACAGACATTCAGGAACGAATGATAAACATTTTAAGTCTTCCAATATGCGTGGTTTGTACATCCCAGCTTCAAGGGTCAAACCTCACATACCAAATGTGCATATGTGCGATTGCCTGACAATGAATTTGAATGCAAAAAAGTTCAATTCTCGAAATAATTCAGATTGTAAAACTGCTAAAGAATCTTAAAAAGTGTCGAAAACAAATCTCCACCATGGAAGTCTAGGTCAAGTTGTGGCTCAGATGCCATTTGGTTAAAGTGCGGAAATTGAAGTTAAGAGCAGTTTTTCCTGCTGCTTTCAAGGAAGTCACCAAAGTTGGTTGTCCAAATGCTGCATTGTTCGTGAGTACCTAAATGTGGAGTCATACTCAATTGACTTTCACTCAAGTGCTGTAGCTAGCATGTCAATCTTCTTGTTCATGTCTGTTGGAAGATGATGATTGCACTATTTCAGAAAAGCAGCTTCTGTTTTGATTTCTTTCTTACGGCGAAAAGAAGACAATAAGGAACACTACCAAAACCGACGTTAACACCGATGTCCCCTCAGTCGGAGCCGGTGTTCTATCTGAAAAGATGTCCAAAATAAAATGGTACCATTTCATATCCCTCTCTAAATTTATTGTCATACGTACCTATAATCTCAACATTTATGTTATCAAACCTACTTACAGAAATAAACTCAAATTTTTCTTTGTTTTGTCAAATTAGAATAAAACCTTCACTTGCTTTAATAAATTTCCACAGTTAGCTGCTAACATCAACACAATGGCAAACAAGATTTAAAAACAACATAACTTAAAGCCAGCCATTGATTAAGCAGAATCTTTAACTTAACACATCAAAAATCCATTATTAACAGAGTTGATTTTCTCCTTGTTAATCGGCAATCAGCAATTAGCAATTACCTCCTGTTGATTGACAATTACAGTAAACCTTGCTGCTCTAGATGCCTCAAATCCTCAATTACAATTGTCACGGAGCTCCTCCTATCCTCCTATTATAAATTGAGCGATTGTTAATCGATGAACGAAAGCCAGGCCACGAGCTTATCCAGAAATCCAGAGTGTGAGTTAATTGTTAGAACGAGTTAAAACGAGATGAAGAAGGAGAGAGCGTGCAAAGAGACGATTGATGAATGAAAGAAGGAGAGAAAAACGATGGATGATATTGGAGAAACTCAAACCAAGCGAAGAGACAACGAAAGAATGAAGAAGAAGAAGCGTATGCGCGCGCGAACGTCAAATTAAAACGACACTAAAATTGGAAAAACAAAAATATTAATAATCAGAATTATATAAAATTCCTATATTTACAAATATGATTTAACCCATTCCTCTCCGAGCATATAAGTAACGGATTAAAATGGATAATATTGGCTAATCATACGATCAACTGTTACAATATTATATTTTAAACTAGGTTATTAAAGATTAAAATATCTATTTTTACGTGTTATTTTAAAAAAAAATGGTTTCTTATGATCCTTCGTATGACATCATGTGTTTGTGCTCGTCTCTTCTGTAACCTATTCATGTAGTTACCTCAAAAAAAATTTCTCACCCCCTTGAGTTCTCTCCCCCTTCAATCTCCACTAAACCATGTATAATATTAATTATTTAAGTGGTTGATATCAAATTTTTCTTTAAGATGACCAAAAATAAATAAATAAATAAATAAATAAATAAAAGACATAAATGGGGAATATATATATATATATATTCAGTAAGAATGCCCCATTTTGTGGGGGCTTAATGGGTTATTGCTTATGCTTGTGGGTGAATGAGGTGAAATAGGATTATGATAAGTAAAAATAATAAATTTAATAGGAAGAATGTCAATAAATCATGCTTTCCATTGGTCGGCAATTGGGGAATTATATTATAGGAAGAAGGTAAGGATGGTTTTGTTTAGTTATTTATGTCTCAAATTCAAAGCTTTTATCAAGTTTGAATATTATGTGAACTCATAACTCTTTTTCTTTTTTGTGCATAAAGGTTTCATTCATTTGTAAATTATAAAAAATCATTTCACAGCAACGCAAAATTGAAGGCAACAAGCCCCTTTCACCGCATGGCGTTAATGAATCATTCCTTGCGCACACTGGGCGGCAGGTTTACCAATTTATTTGCACTCCAATTCCCTGCCGGAAATTTCCAAGTTTTTCGCACAAGCAATTGGTGCAGCAATCACTGCCAGCCCTCTCTGTCCCCCTCAACTTAAGCAGAGACCGGTGGACCCACCAACCAACTGGGGAGTGGGGAGTGGCGTTTTGGGGAAAATTGGCCCGCGCCGCCAGGTGGGGGTGGTTGAAACTGGTAGGAAAAGAGGGCCACGGCGGCTGCGGCAGCGGTTGTGACGGTGCCGACGGTAGAGAAGAGAAAGTAGCGTTTTCCGGCGAATAATCCACAAATTTGAATAGCTGAAATGGATGCATTGACATATTGTAATTCATTGAGATTAATTAGTCAAATTGGTAAAAATGGGGTATAATACATAAGATTCCAAATTAACAAGCAGATATTTATTTATTACAACTATTTATCAAATTCAACGATGAACCTACTTAAAAGTTGCAAAATTAATTTTACCGATAAAATATTAATTACTATGTTTTACATCAATAGTTCAATCTCTTACTCCCGTAATTGTTGAACTAAAAAAGTTACAATTTCTATCATCTATTCAATCATTAATTTCGACCTATTTTCAAATAAAAAGTTAGTTCTACTATTATCCATAATCTAAATTTGGAGGCAGTTGATTTTAATCTACAAGTATCTAAGAGAGGGTTAAAAATCATTAAATTGATTCCATTTCACTTGGCCAGTTGATCTTAATGTACCAGTTTATGAAATTAATGAAGCAATTAACATCTAGACAGGAGCCGTGTAAGCTTAACGCTCAAATGGAGCCCCTATTTTCTGTATCTGTCACAATTCTGTCTCCTAGCAGAGTACTTTATTTGCTCTCATTTCACTATAAAATTCTACACCCAATCTAACTTCAACAGGAGAATCTCCACATAACCATGGATTTCAAAGCAGAGCTCAACACACAGGTAGCAGAAGAAGATGATGGTTACTATGCCGAGATTAGGAAACAAATCATTCTACTTTTGACAACATACGATGACGACGAAGACGTTGAACGACCTCCCAAAACTGCAGCAAAACGAGGGGCAGAACAAAGCGGCCGTCGTCACCCACAGTCAGAGAGAAACTTGAGTTGGTGTCTAAATGGGAATGATTTAGAAGGACCTGTTTGGCATGTCAATTCATGGGAGAATGGGAATGGAACAGGAGTTTTCATCCCTCAAGCAGTCAAATACAAAAGATACAGTATTTTCAGTATGTTCCTGTCTTGTCTTTCGAGTTTCATAAGCACAAGGCAATACTTAACATAACATCACTTCTTGATTTTGTGTTGCAGGAAGGATGAGAAAGCATGAGAGAAAAGAAAAACACAGACTAAACAGACAACAAGACCAAGGATCATCCGTGTTTTCAGGAGGCTAAATTGCAAAAATTACTTCTGAACTTTACTTTTCTTTCAAAAGTTGCAATATTCGTCAAAATGTTCAAGTTACTAATATATTTTAATCTCGGAATCTTATGTTATTTCACAGTTGAATGATTGTTACAGTAACAAAAGTAAACTCCAAAACTCAAACAAAAATAGTTGCATTCAAGTGAATAAAGCTAACAAATTAGGTTGTGCATGGTGGTATCGAAATTCATGCCTGTTCAAGGACTTCTCTGCGACTGTCAAACCGATTCCCCGTTAGCACTTCCCTCGCACGTGCACTCCGATGCTGAAGGCGCTGGTGAAGCATCTCCGAAATCTGGTTGAAGAATTCAGCATCCCATTTCTGAATCAACAATGGATCTTCTGCATAACAGATGTAGATGGATGTAACGGCACTTTCCACAACTACTATTGCAAGGCCTACCTGAAATTTTCAATAAGGATAGACATCAAAGAACAGTTTATTCACAACAATTTAGAACTAATACTCAGTTGATAAAAGAACTTATGAAATCTCAATTCATAGACAAGAATCAGCAAGCAAAAAGTCAAGGAAAATAACTTTCTAAAACGTATTTACCAAGACCATTCCCATCAATGTTGCAGTACATGCCACCATCGACACCTTATCCTTCCACTTAATCCATGTCCAAATACCTGAGCAAGTTCCAGCAGTGAGCCCACCCATGATGGTGCTCATCAGAAGAACAGCACCCGAGCAATCGTAAGCAACAAGAGCTTCGACACCGGTTGACTGTAATAACTCCCATGCATCTCTGGCTGAACGGTTGAAGCTTTTACCATAAACTGCTATCTGAAGCAAAGAGATGCAGGGAAAACTATGCGGTAATCATGGAGAAACCATACTAGAAATTCACAAAATTCAGAGTACAATTCGAACTTAATTATTCAACTTGACATTAGATAAAAGGGAATACCTGGACATACGCATATTTGTTAAAGAAACGAACAAGAGTCTCGACGAGATGAAACAAAAAATCAACACAGCAAAGCAGACACTCATTCTGGCCAATCTTTGATCGGATTCCTCTTATCTGAAAGTTATCGAATTAGTTTGAAATATACAAACCAAAAGAAACAATCGACAGCGTGGAAGGCAATAAATAGTTTGCACGAATACCTCCCACCGCAGTGTCCGAATGGGAGCTGTAAAAAGCGATCCATAGCAAATGCTACCAAAAGATGTTGTCACTGCATATCGTGAAGCCTTCATCAATGACTTTGATGGCATAGATGATGACTCTCTGCCGCCATGGAATAGGACTAGAAACACCATTCCCGAAACTATAACATGTAGAGTATTACAAAAAACAACACCAGCCCAAAACAAGCTTATGGAGAAAACCTGCAAATAGAAATTGTCAATATCATAGAAATTCAGCTAACATTCCTGGCTCTTCTGTTAAACTTGTTATCTCCAAATACAGCGACATAACAAAGAGCAAACTTGCCCGCTCACCACAAGTAGCCACCAGCGTCCACCGTCACCCATACTCGATGCCACAATCCCAGCTACACCAAAAGACCAAACTCCCATACACAAAAGCATGACAATCATGAAAGCATACGCAACTTTAATAACTTCAGGAAGCCCGGATACCATCTTTACAGCCTTTTGCAAAACTAGAAGTGTAAATGGCAGTCTATGGAAGGAAAAATACAAGGTCAGAGAAGACTGCAATGATCACCTAGTCCAATCTTTTGTTCATTTACAATTCTAATTCTCAAATAGCTGAGCTCAAGGGCAACATGTCTAAAATAGAGCCCAACACATATATACCGAAACACTACTTTCACTCCCATAGTTCACATAATGAATAACAAAATTCTTCATAATTCAACCTCATACCTGTCTATAACTGATATAACATACAGGAACTGCAACCCCGCACCAATTGAAAATGCTACACCCCAGAAAAATAACTGTCCCCAGAAGCACAAAACACTTATCACAGCAAGATATGTAGTCAAAATATGCACAGAAATCTTCATTACATGATTTGCAAAAGAACCAAGCAAGAACAACCAAGTCCATCCAAGTAAGCTTCCAACTCCGCCTGCCAAAGCATAAAGCGGCCAGTAATCCTCTGTTAATCCAACCCGATTCTCCATGATTGTATTGGTGTACTTATCGATTTGTAGCCTATTGCTCTTCTTGAACCTGTTAAGCCCCAGAACCACGAGCACAAATCCCACACTAATCAAATGAATGATAAACACAAAGGACCAAAAGACGTCTCGCCAAGAGCGTGACGATTCATCCGACAGCGCTTGGCCTCCGACACCACTCATACGACCGCGAACGGCATTCTGTAATCAACCCAAAGAAAAAAGAGAAGAAACACAAGAACCCCAATGATCGGTCATGAAAAAAGAAAAAAGTAAGAAGAAATTTACCAAAAGTTATCAGTAAAAGCAAACGAAACCCAGCAGCCACAACAAGAAATTGAATAGAACCCAAGAGACTAGTGGGGTTACCTGCACCTGATCGACGGTAGCGATGGAGGCGGAATCGAAGGAAGAAGAAGAGACACTACCGGAGTCGGCCATTATGAATAGACTAACAACTAAGGAGCCATCGTTTTGAATGTATTTGAGAATTGGAAGCTTTTGAACAGAATGCTGATAAAAACGTGAAAAGCGGTAGGAAAACGATGGAAAGAGTGGATCAAACGGTCGCTTTTTAGGGCTTCTTTACAGAAAATAAGTATCAGAATTCAGAAATTGAAATTTTCAGGCAGTGAAGCATATTTGAGAGAGGAACAAATCACTCCCAAATTTGTACAGGAATGTGGCTGTTCACTTTCGTACATTTCCATTTCCACTAATCGAGGAGCTTTTATGCCACGCGCTCATTGTCCGCGTGAAGGGGAGGAATAATGTGATGCTGTTCTTCGTTTCGGTCAAGATGTAGACGTTTTTTTTTTTTTTTTTTTCTTTCCCAAAAAAAGATTTTATTTTCATTTTTAATTACGGAATATGAAAGACTTTTTTTTCCCTCGTTGTTCACACGATTAATTAGTCGGTCGATACATTTTTTTTAATATATTGGATATTTCAAATTTTTTAAATTTTACTCTTTATTAATTAAAAAACTCTCATTTAGGCTCTAAACATAGAAAAACTGTGTGTTATTAAATTATGGTTTATTATATTTAAACACTTGTGTTAATTTCTAAAAATTATTAAATTGATTAAAACATTGGAATATTAATTTAAAAGGTAAAAACGTCACTCTATACGGTTGAATCTAATATATATTACACATAACTAGACATATGATTTGACACGTGAATTTAAAAATGATTTTTTTAAGAAAAACATATTTGTCAATTAAATAAATTTATTTTCTCTTGGTGCATGCATACATCCAAACATGTTAATCGAATAATAATTTAATAACACGTTATTTTCATGTCAAAAAATTATTTGAAGTGATTTAATCGAAAAATATTAGTACGTAAATTTGAGAATTTAAAAAATTAAAAATCAAATTGGTTTAATATTAAGAAGAGAGGAATTAGATTTCTAAATTCCTTATAATGTTTAGAGAAGTTTATAAAAAGATAATGATAGTGATACTGTGATTGATAGATATTTTAGTTTTAAATAAATCAGCATAAACTAAAAAATGAATATTTAAAATTAACTGAAGTTGGAGGAATCAAAAAAGAAAATCTCCTAATTTGTCTTTATGAATGGGAACGAATAATAAGCGGCCTACCTCACCTAAACGCACTCCCACTTTCAAGCTTCATTTTTCACCAATACTATTGTATAAATCTACCTACTTTTAATTCAAACATTTTTCAAATACTTTTTATAAATTTATTTTATATATCTACTTACTTTTAATTGTCTGTTTTTTTTTTTTTTAACTTGAAAAATAATTTTATAAATTCAAATATTTAAAGATACGGTAGTAAATGATAAAACTATCTCTAAATAAAATCTAAATAAACATGAAAAAAAATTAAAATATCATATATATATAGCAATTATGACACCTGAATAAGATAGATGTCCACATGTAATTCATAATGTAAGACGACAAAGATGCACATGCAATTGCATGATGTATTATATTGCATTAAATTATTGGTTAAATATTATAAGTAAAATAAAATCTATAAGAAAATAAAACTTTATCTAATGTATTATTTAAATTTTGGTTGTTAATAAAAATACTACCTAATACATCATATACATTTACATTTTATACTACATACAAAGGAATATATTAGAAGAATATTATTGTAAAAATTAAAATAAAGTTTTAAGGGAAAAAAACTATTAAATCAAAAATTAGAAAATATTACAAATAAACTTAGAAATGACAAGAACTAAAGGCTAAAGAAAGACAGACCAATCAACGTCACAGCCTCAGCATCCAATGTTCAACGTACGACTAACCTGCAACCTGCAGTTGACCGTTTAACTGTTTCCCATTCCTCTGGATTTCACTACAAAAAACAAAAACTATTTTTTAATTGGACCCCGTAAATCCTAACGTTATCCACTTCTTTCCAGTAATGCCCTCATGCCGTCTCAGAATTTACGACTGTTGCCAGTTACCGTTAACCGGTGGTCTATTTCATCATCTATGTTACAAGAGCCGGTTGAAAATGGAGCGATTAGCTTAATAAAAGAAAGGGATTAAGACGAAACTTCTATTATTAAAATAAGAACTAAATAATAATTAGCATTTGTTGGAGGAGAACCCAACGAGCGAATTAGCGAGGTCGAAACTGACACGTGTCCCTTGCTGCTGTGCGTTTCCGAGTATTGACAATGTTGAATCGGTAGGGGCAAAGGCGAAACAAAATGTTCCTTCCGAGTCAACCGGTATCAGGTAATTTTTTGCCGGCAACGGCAACTCTTTCCCGTCCGCGAAGTGAAATGACACCGTCGGCACTTCGACTCTCGACTTCGACGACAAGTCGTAACAAGTATCAAACAACGCCACGCCACGTGC